GTCCAACAAAATCAGGGTGACTTGGCACTGCAGGCTTATGTGCCGGACACCCTCCAGCCACCCAGCACAGCTCTCCCAAACCACAGGGACACTGGTTACCCTCAGCTCTGGATCTGAGAGCTTAGAGACCACTCCAGGGGATATGTTTCACCCAGAGACGGCTGCAGCCTCAGCTTCTCTCACCCTTTCCTGGACTCCCCATGTTGACTACAAGTCCCCAGCCTCAGGCACCCTTTGCTCCTTAAGGCAAGCAGATACATTTCTTTAAACAAAACCAGGGAAGAAAAATGCTGTGTGAGCAGAGATTTACATAACAAAGAAGTATCCTGCTTCACCTAAATGTAAATACATCTCTCTGTACGTGGCTGGAGTCAGAGCACAAGGCCCAGTGAAACACCCAGGTTCGAAGCTCACTTGCCAGCCCCCAGCACCTTCTTGCCACACAGTGAACCCAGAGTCACTCTGCCCTAGCTCCCACAAACAGAACCCACAGCACTAACCCCCAGCCCAGGCCCCCATCCTGCTGTTTGTCTCCTGTGCTCGTTATTTGCACCTACAGCCCCCTCCTCAGCCCTGGGCTCAAGTGGAGGAAAACCCTGGGGCTAACTCTCACCGGGACTGGGTTTGGTTTGTCGAGGGCACCGTGGACTCTGGTCTCCCAGATGTACTGACCTACTTCTCTTCCATGCAATTTGGCATAGCCAGTGGCTCTCAGCTACTGCCTCTGCAGAGATCTGCGCCTGCCCACGTGAATACATTGCTGGGGCTTTCAAAAGAAGTTGTCTGACAGCAAGAAGTGATTTCAGTTTTGAGTTTGCAGACACAAACTATCACTACCTCCTGCAACCAGACAGCAGCTTGCATAAGCCCCACTTCGCTGAAAACAGACTAAAAAATAAAAATTACCTAAATTTACATAGCTGGGGTTGTTTTATAGAAATTGCTTCTGTCTTTCTTCTCCACTTTTTGCCCTTGATAAGACCTTTTGGCAGAGAGTTTCGCACGTTAATTATGCCTTGTGTCAAAATATTTCTCTCTAGTGCACTGTTTTTCTCCTTAAATGATTTTAACCATGTAAATGTTCCTGTCTCTGTCTGAAAGGGTAGATAATTAATATTGAATGTTTATTTTTAAGCTCCCTTCATACTTGCCCTGCTCTTTTCCATCTTCCATCTCCAAGTTGCTAAATGCTTTCATCACCTGGCTCAAAGTCCTCCGTGTCGTCTCTATCCATCTCTGAGTCAAAATGATCAGGGCTGAATGTGGCATTCGGAGATCATCCTGCTGGTTTCTACAGCAACATTGTGGCATTTGGGTAATTAGTTTCTGTCCCATCCTTCACGCACTCCAATATTCTGCTTAATCTTTGGATTTGCAGGACCAAGGACCAACTCTAGAAAATAAGGAGATGTTAAGTCTCATTTTCTAAAGAAAATGGCATTTAGTGAACCTGAATGTCATTGAAGAGGAATGGAACAGAGACTTCCAAGTCACATGGGCCAAATACTCAGGACCCAAATATCTTTAAAATCTGGCCATAAACTCAAAAACATTACCACAGGCCTTTTTCTTTCCAAAGTAGTTGTTCATTTGACCTTAGAAACAGAAATTAGTGTTTCAAATGACTCCTGAGTGAATGTCATCTGCTAGCATGTTGTTCCATCAACTACTTGTATAATCCCAGTCTTATCCATCCCTGATTAATGTAAATCATCTTGTATTTTGCAGACATAATCCTCTGACTGAAATCCCTTCTCCAAATCCTCAGGCATTGCACAAGGGACAACATACAGTACATCACGCAATATTGGCCCTGATGCACACCAACACTAAACTAACAGCTTCCTTTCATAAATTCACAGATATTCGCAATGAAGGAAATGCAGTAGATCTCACTTGCCTGGGCTTCAGTAAGACATTTGAAATGGTGCCACACAGTAAATTATTAGCTAAGACAAAGAAGATGTGACTGGCATATGAAATGTAAAGTGGGTAAAGAACTGCCTGAAAGTGGCATGGTAATTGCTTCAGCAAAAAGGGGATGTGTTAGACTGAAGACGGTTTACCAGTACAGTTCCTTGTGTTTCTGCCTCAGAAATTATTCTACTTAACATTTACATTAATGATCTTGGCAAAAAACCAGGAGAATGCAAAGGGAAATTTGCTGATGAGGCAAAATGACATGCTATCATCAATCTAGAAGAGGCCAGGATATCACACAAAAAGCTTATAATGACCTTGAGGACTGCAGCAATGGAGAAGGGATTTGATAGAACAGTATAGACTGTACAATCAGGCTGTTGAGGACAAGTATAACAATAGCAGACGTTCCAGCTTGTGAGGCTGTCAGCTGAAAATATCTGGGGCAGGGAAAGACCCATGCTACAAACCACAAAACTGTGACAAGACCCTCGTGGTATACAACATGAGAAGAGTTAAATGAAAAGAACTTGGGTTGAAGGGTAGGAAAATGAGGAATTGATCTGTGTGAATGTATCAGAGTCAACAACAGGGTAGAAAAGAGATAGAGTGGACACTGCTGGTGTAAGGTTATATGGCCAGGAAATGTCTGGGAATACAAATAGATGGGTGGTTAGACTGGCACATGAAAGTAGTGAGTTTCTCATGTATGTTTCTGACCCAGCTCCAGGGCAGATAAGAAACAACCATCACTCAGAGGGATATCAGTCCTACCACACAACCAGCATGCTCGAGAAGCCAGACAGATTAGAGGTGTGATCTTCTTTCTCAGTGAAACACCCAGGCCTATTCACAGAGGAATTTGAGAGTCCTATTTTAAAAGGTGTCACTAACCACGATGTTGTTTTGGAATCAAACGTTCTACAAGGCTGTACAAACGCCATCAGCCCGGGCAGGTGGCAACTGCCTGCTCTCCTATTCCCAGCACAAATGCCAGATTCACTTGTCCCCTCCAGGACTGGAGGTGGGTTCAGCGGTTGTGGGGTTCTGGTATGAGATTAGCTGCTCCACTCTGAAACCCCTCTGGCCTGCTCAGCTCACCCATTCAGTCAAGAATCACTGGATACTACCACTTCTTACCAATTTCCTCCAGAGCAGCCTTTTTGGACGCTGCCACCTCTAACAGCTCCTCTTTCTCTGCCCTGAAGGAGCAGGGCTGAGGCAGAGGCTCTCACTCTGCAGACACCCCCACCTCCTAAGCTGACTGCTTGCTGCTTCTGCTCCCCAGGAGTGAAATTTGTTTTGCAGTTGCAACCTTTTACACTTCACATTCCCTGGTTTTACCCATCCCAGATCGCTGCCCTTGCCGCCACATCTCCAGGAACACGGTCACCGTCACTGCAGAACCTAAGCACATCAAATCTCTGTTGGGATCATCAGGGGTTTCTATTTCTCTCTTTTCATTTTCCTCAGCACGACTGGCTCTGAACACCTCCTGCGAGTCCCTCAGAGCTTCCTGCGCTGGCTCTCTGCTGAGTCAAAAGATTTTTATAATGTTATTTCGAATTTTCAGGCTTTTTTTATTGACTTCGTCTTTCTTTGGAATTTCCCTTTTGAATTTACTGGCACAAGACGATATCTGGGGTCAGTTTGTATCCCTTTCCCCTCGCTCCTTTCAACCACAGGACATCGGACTGAATCATGCTGGAGGCAGGATTATTTAAGGGTCCCACCAGGTGTCTCACTTCTGTCCCCCTCGAGCCTGTCAGACCCAGCATCCCCCCCCTCCCATGGCTCAGCCAGCAAGATGTCTCTTTGGCCCGTCTCTTCCAATTTCAGCTCAAGGGGACTGCTTTTTCCTTCTGTGAACTGCCCAGTGAGGGCATAGATGTTTATGGCCCAGAAGGTAACAAGCTGTCACTGCTCCCCCTGCTCTGCTCCCGGTGGGATGGGAAGGAGAATGGGAAGAAAAAGGTAAAACCCCATGGGTTGAGACAGGAAACAGATGAATGGGACAACACAAGGAGAGAAGAAACAATATTAGGAATGCTAAGAAAAGAATAGGTACGGTGAGTGAGGCACAATACAATTGCCCACCACCCAGATCCTTCCTCCCCCGGCCAGCTCATCCAGTTTATATACTGAGCGTGATGTCCTATGGTATTGACACCCCGACACCCACCTGCCGCCCCAGCCCCTGTCCCACAAACCTGCATCTCCTCACTAAGAAAAGTTGGAACTGGGCGTGTGGCTTTGCTGATGTGCCTGAGCACCGCAGGGCTGAGCCTCCGCGGTGGCCCCGACCCTCGTGTTGGCACTGCGGGTGCCGCCGGCCCGTTACCCCAAGAGGAGCCGGCTCTGGCAGCCCCAGGGGAGACGCTGGTGTCACGGCGTGCTGTGGCGTACTGAGGCACGGACTCAAATCACGGGTGATGCTGAGACGCTCGACTTCAGCACGCTGGCTGCTTGTATACCTTTCGTGCGTTACGGTACTTTCCCATCAAGTTACAGCACTCTCCTACCAGCTGAACACCAGCAGGTGTTCCGCGCTAATCTCGCAGTACTACTGGCAGTCTTCTTGCTTCCTTCTTTCCCAGCAGCAGCCGAAGCTTGTGAGCATTTTTCTCGTAACGAAGCCCATGTTAAAACCAAGGCACAGCACTCTTCTAACTACCAGGAAGAAACATTGACTCTACTTTCGCAGGGTCGACTTGGCCGAGGCCTCCGAGTACTTGTGTTCAGGCTGAGGCCTGCTCCAAGGCCTAGCACGCACTTCCATTTTGTGTCCCCCGACAGCGTGGGGCCGTGCTGGGCGGCAGTGGAGGTTAACACGGGCTGGGGAGGGGGAAGCACCGTGGGAGCTGCTGTGGGGCCCAGGCCGCCCTGGCCAGGGAGGGGAGGAGCGGGGAACCCAGGGCATGGGGAGGGCAACTGGGTCCCCGGGGGACCCTTCTCCTGCGTCAGGGCTCCAGCCGGGACTGCAGAGACACCCAAAGGAGTTGATAGCACAAACAGTTGAGGCATCCAGACTCTTGAAACTTCCTTAGCAGGCAGGCACACTGATGTGGTTTAAATCAGGATTTTGATAGAATTGAAAGTATTTTTTAATCACTTTACCTAGTAAGACAGATACAGTTTAACTTAACAGATTTTCCTGCTGGAGAAGGCTGCAGCTGAAGTCCTGTCTTGCATGCCCGGGGCCGGGAGCCAAGCGCGCCGGGGGAAGCAGCGGGGCCATCGCGGTTGGCAGCGGGGAAGGGTCACTTCTTCTGGGGCTGGAAGTGCTTCGCATGTGCCTCCACGCAGGGCTCCCGGGTATCCGCGCACAGCTCCTTCTTCTTCTTGGTGACCAGGCTGCTGGGAGCCTGTGTCCCCGACCCCCTCCCGGCCACCCTCAGGGCACAGCCCCAGCCACCGCAGCCCGAGCCCCCAGCAGCGGTGGGTGCTCACATCACCCCTGGCTGGGTGCAGCTGCTGCTGGAGGTGTAGGTGGGGCTGGGGGTGCCATCGCTCCACGGGAGCTGCCAGGGCAGGCGGGGTGACCCATCCCTGTCAGCGGGGACCCTGGTGGCTGTGGGCAGGGCTGACTGACTGTACGTATGCACCGATGGCATCTGTTGAGTGTTGGGAAGTCTTTTTTGAGGGCCCTGGACTAGTCAACCTCAGGTGAAGTGTCGGGATGCAGGGCGCTGCGCAAGGTTCCCTGCACTGGAGGGGCTGGAGTCTGGTCCGGTGTCAAGGGAGGGAGATGATGAGCACCTTGTGCAAGCCCACCTCACTCTTCCTCCCTCCCTCTCTCCCCGGATCACAGCCCTGTCCATGTCCCCACGTCCTGCGTGGCTGTGGTGGCAGGTGACACTGGGGACTCTGTCGCCCCGCTGCACCCCTCTCCAGTGTCCATGCCTCTGCAGTCGCTGCAGTCCCAGGAGACGGCATCATCTTCCCCCAGGGCAGAGCAGAGCTGGTGGGTCCCTTGTGAGGCACAGGATGTGCAGAGTAGAAGTCTCCAGGGCCTGGGGGAGCAACAGGACCCACTGTCACCAAAGGCCCCCGAGCTGTGTGTGGGGTGCCAGCCCCGGCGCTGTGCTGAGCCCACGTCCACCCCTGCTCCCGCCGGCAGCTGGGGCTGAGCTGCTGGCACTCACCCTGCCGTGCCGTGCCCATATCCCAGGGAGGCTCCATCCCTGCCCAGAGGAGGAGACGAAGGCATCGCCATCTCCTCGCTGGGGCTGCGGGGACCGCAGCCACCGGCACTCACCCATTCACCTCCACATGCTCGCGTCCCTCTGGGCACAGGCACTGGTTGGCATCACAGGAGCTGTGCCGCAAGTAATGGCCTGCAAAGGCCCCATCCTCCTCCTCCCAGGCAGCATCCCTGCGGGAGCGGGGGAGCGCTCACCCTGGGGCCGTGGGGGACACCCCGGCGGCACCCGCGCAGGCAGGAGGGCTCAGCTGGAGCATCGCGGAGGGGGAGGCGGCAGCGGGAGGGAGGGCACTGACCTGTCAGGGATCCGGATGCCCAGGTGAAACATCTCTGCCAGGAATTGCTCCCTGCTGCTGCAAAGTGGGCAGCAAAAGTGGTGAAGGCCGGAGCGCAGCGCCTGTCCCTGGGGCAGAGGTGGCATCAGCATCAGCGCCGGGGGTCCGGTTCACCGCCCTGGAGCTGGGCGACGCGACAACAGGGTGACAGCAGGGGGGATCGCTCCAGGGGCCGGGGGCGATGCCACCTACCTGGATGCAGCTACGGTGGAACCAGGCGCTGGTGCAGGCGGGACACACCAGGGTGTCGTAGCAGGGCCGCTCCGCCACCCCCTCCTGGCAGATGAGGCAGAGGGTCTGGTCCTGCTGCACCGCCCGCACCCGCTGCACCGGCCGGTGCTTCCAGCAAAAAGACCTGGAGGATGGAGGGGACAGCTTGGCCCCGGCCCCGACCCCGGCCCCGGCCCCAACCCCGGCCCCGGCCCCGGCACCAGCCCCGGCCCCGACCCCGCGTGGCAGCCATACTCACTTGAACTCCCCGAACAACTGGGAGACGCAGCCCCGCTTGCTGCCGCAGGGGAAGTGGAAGATGCGGCGGCAGCGCCGGGGCCCGGCAGCGCCGGCCCGGCAGGTGACCGAGGCGCCCGGCAGCTGGCAGATGTGGCACGTCTGGGGACGGCAGGAAGGACAACGGTGTCAGCGCCACAGGCCCCAGGGAGCCCCGCCGCGTTCTGTGGGGCCGCCCGGCTGGTGACACCGGGCCCCTGATAGATAAGGATGCCCCCCGTACCCTCCAGATCCCCCCCTGCCGCAGGAACGGGCCTTTTTGCGTCATGGGGTATCTGACTTGGGGGTTGCTTGCAGCCGGCTGCCAGAGCAGCGCTGGGGGCTGGGTGGGTGGCTGCTGGCGTGTGCAGTGCCAGGCACGGGGCGTGGGGACACGGTGGGGACACATGGGGACAAGGCCTCACTTTCTGTGCCACCCGCTTCAGCTCCTGGCGGATATCAGGGAAGAGGAAGCCGTAGAAACCCTCTTTGTTGGCCCCTCTCTGCATCAGCCCGCTGGCGTGGTACTGCAAGGGGGTTTTGAAAAGAGGGTGAGTGCCAGGGGCTGCCGGCGGTGCGGGGCTGGGGACCGGAGGGTGTCGGGGACTGGGGGGGTGTCGAGCCCCAGGGACTCACCAGGCAGTTCTCGTGGACGCAGAGCCCACCCTTTTGGCACAGCTGGCCAACCATGTCGGCATCACAGTTGTCCTGCCGGCACAGCCCGCACACTGCCGGGGGACAGAGGCACCGTCACCCCCAGCAGCACGCCGCGGAGCCAGGTGGGGGTAATGCTGGGAGCGGGGATGGGGGAGAGGCCGGAGCACCCTGGGACGCTGCGGGGGCCTGTGGCAGCACAGCCGGGCACCGGCCAAAATCCCCTCTGGCCGGTGCCCGGGGGGAAGCTCTGCACTCACCTCTCTCCTTGGAGACTGGGACATCTCCTTTTGCGCTTGGGAGGAGCACAGGAGGGTCTTGCCTGCTCCTCCGGCAGCGCTGGGGGACACTGCTCTGTTGGGCATTCTGACATCCTGCGGCGCCGCGACCTCAGCTCCATGGCCGCAAGTGGCTGCCACGAAGCAGCTGGCTGGGCCTGGGGACCTCGCTCTGGTCGGAGACCGTCCTTGTCCTCCAGTGCCCGTGGCAAACACACCACGGAGCCGGGGGCAGTGGCGTGGGGGTATTTATACAGGCCAGGGTGTTTCGTGCGTGCCCGGTCACAAACACGGTCCATCCAGCACGTGCGCAGCCGGGTCACAGATGTTGCCGTGGATGCTGCTGCTCCGGCCTCCCCGTGCTCACTGGAAACACGCCCCAAAGCATTTGTGTTTTCAATTTCTTCTTGTCTTTAAGGAAGGGATTGACTCAAGTGACAGGCCTGGTATGGTCCAATTTCCTTAAGGCGATTGCCATCCCCATTGCTGCTGCGGTGGGTGGGTGGGCTTTAGGGACTGCGGGAGGGTTTTCCCCGTGAGACAGGGTGATTCCTGGGGACCTGGAGCTCCCCAGTGCGAGCAGGCTCACCCCCACTGGGTGCTCATCTGCAGGGTCTGGCCGGGCCTGGACAGCGCTAAACCTCCAAGCATCTCTCCTCCTGCAGCCGCCCCTCTTTAGCCCCTGGATCCATCTGGGGAAAAAACCATAGCAACCCCCCCATACCCTCCCCAAACCCTCCAAAGCCAACCCTTTCTCCTGTTGCCAGCCTGCGCCTGCCTTTCTGCCTGCCTCAATCCGTATCCCAGTGGGCGGGCAGCTGCTCAGGGCATCCTTAAACCCCACAACCAGGACGGGGCTGCTGCTTCATGGGGGGGAGCTGAGCTGGGGGCATCAGCCTTGGCCCTTCGGGTTTCCCTGCCGTCTCAGGAGCTCCTGGTTATTCCTGGGCCCCTGTGGGGACACCAAGCCCTGACGTGACCCTGCTTTTCTCCCACGGGATTTACTTCCTCTCACTCCAGCTGCAGGCCAGAACAGGGTAGTTTATGAAACCCATCGAGGGTTCTGCGGTAGTGTGGAGAGGGTGACAACAGGGGAGGGGATGGAGCCAGCTCCATCACATAACAAGATGAGACTGTACATGTAATTATGGGACGCAAATAAGCAGAGCTTATGGTGAAGGCGGCTTCATGTGGAGGTGCTGGTTGACTCCTGCTGCTGCCGGTACTGCTGGAACCATTCCTTCTGCGGGTCCACGCAGAACTTCTTCCCCTTCAGCATCTCCACGCTGGCGGAAAGAGGGGCTATGTTAGCTGGGGGGATGTGGGATGCGGCCGTGCCCCGAGGTTCAGGGGATGCCTGCAGCATCCTTCCCCCCACATCCCCCCAAAGTGCTGACTTTTAGCAATCTCTGACACCTTTGCTTCCTTCCCACCTTTCTGTCTCTCAGCTGAAACAGGGGATTTTTTGAAGCTATTTGGAGTAAAGCAGTGAGGAGGGAGGTGCACGTGAAGAGCCAGCGCAGGGCACCCACCACGCATGGCACCCTTTGGGGGTGGCTTGTTTGGGGGAAATCCCCCGAGGCAGAACAACCCGTAGGGAAGGTGGGCGAGCAAGGGTGAGGAGCAGGGGTGCAGGGGAGGAAGGCTGGGCGGGGGCCGGGCGTACTCACCGCACAGCCTTGTGGGAGCAGTGGGAAGGCGTCTCCTGGAAGCTCTTGATGAGGAAGGCTGGGATTTTCTTCTGGATAAACATCTCCTTGTAGCAGCATGTGCCGTAGTGGCTGCGGACTGAGAGGAGGCAAGAGGGGTTGGTGCTCTCCCACGCCTGGCGTGAGGAGTATGGGCGCTGCCCTGAGGGGAGTGGTGGGTCCCTTGGGGACTTTCCTGCTCCCTTCTGCTACCAGGGGTCCCCTCTCATGTCCCCGGTCGTGCTGCTTTGCCGCAGGGGAGGAGCCCCCCGTTTTCCTGCCCATGTGGAGTTATCACTGAGCTCTCCAGCTAGAGTGATGGAGCTGAAGCCATCCCCAAGCCTATTTCTGCTCATTTTGAGCAAGACCAGGACAGCCCCGTGCTCAGGCGGCTGGTGGTGCTCCTCAACCCCTCAAACCCACAGCAGAAGCAGGAATTGATGCTTTCATCCCCTTCCTCAACGCCCCCCAAACCCTGTCAGTACAGGAGCTGAGGACAGTGCTGGGGTAGCTCTTAGCCTCAGCTTTGGGACTTACAGGACATTCCCTGGCTTCTAGTCCAGAGAGCCGCCAGCAGCAGGGTGAGCAGTGTCAGGGAGAACACCTTCATGTCCAAGCGGGGCTCCGTCGGTGCCAGCAGCTGGCAGGTCTTCTTGACTGAAGGCCACCAAGAGCTACCTGCATCTCTTGGCTGCACCTCAGCATGATATATCCTCCAGCCAGGCGTTTCATGACTGCCCTGGACTCTCCCCAGGAAGAAACTGCCCACAGATATTGATAAAGGGCAACCAGTGAATGGAAATTCCTTCTCTGAGCCACTCCGGCTCCGGCAGTGGTCGAGGGCTGCTGGAAAGTGTGGTGAGCAGCCAGCAGCTCTGCGCCGCTAGTGATGCACCGGGGCAGGCAGTCTATTTTAGGTTTAGTTGCTGTCACCAGCAAACCACACAGGATGATGCTTGCCAAAGCCCTGGGTGAGTTTATTTAAAAAAAACCCCACTTGTCATCAGTTTGACTGTGATGCCTCTCGCAATTTTTCACCAGGATGAGTGGCTCGGTGGTGGCCGGGCTTGCCTCAGCCCACCCTGAGACCCATCAGTGGCTGAGCCTGTCACCGTGCCTGTCACAGTGCCAGTGCCCATCACATCTCTTTGAGGCACCCCAGGAGCATGGGCTGGCTGTGAGGTTCGACCAGGCAGACCCAAGTGGCAGCTCTGATCAAGTTTGGGCCAGGGGTCTCCACTCATTAGGATGGCCGACAAGTAGAGCATGGGAAGCTCGCTCCTCATGAGCTGTGCCTGCCTCTTGCCCCTCTCATTGGTGGCTTCCCCAAAGCCCACACAGATACGGTTTGCCCCATGCACCCCTTGGACCCCCTCACAGAGACATTGTTGGGGCTTCGGCTCTTCCCAGCTCCTTACTGACCCCAGCACTTTCAGATTTGGTTTAACACCTGGGTAGAAAAGACGACAACATGATCTGCCCGCTCCCAAGACACTTGCACAGCCAGATGCTTGCATGCATGAAATCACGTTTAATTCTATTCAGTGTGTTGTACAAAAAATAACCGTAGGAGTACTACCCCTTAATCCCTCTGCTACTGCCAGGCTGGCAAGCGCAGCCAGTGAAGGGTACAGGCAGCTGCCTGCATGCAAAGCAGGGCTGAGAGGATGGGGGGCAGCAGCAGGTCTGGACCCCAGCACCCTGTGGGGTTGGCACACCCCATCCTGGTGGGATGCCAAGGATGACAAAGGCCCTTTGCCTTTGGGGAAGTGGTGAGGGTCATCACAGGATGATGGGGAGGATATCCCCGACAAGCTGCTATATCCAAATGTGGTGTCCCTGCTGCCGCCTCTGCAAAGGGATGACCTTTGCGGTATGTCCCCCCACCCGTGGAGGTGACTCCCCGTGCTGCCTCCGTCCACCCCTCTAGCTGGGGATGGAGAAGGAGTTGACTTGGAAGCTCTGCTGGTACCTCTTCACCCAGGCCCTGGTTGCCTGGGCACAGATCTCCCTCCCGCTCCTCACCCTGAAGCTGGGGCAGAGAAAAGACAGGGTTAGCAGTGTGGTGGTATGGGAGATTCCAAGGGGCTTGGAGACACAGAGGATCAGGATTGGACCCATCAAAGCAAGACACAGGGGTCTGGCAGGGTGTAGAGGGGCTTTACCCCAGGGTTGGGTTTAGGGTACTCACATCACAGCCTGGTGCGGGCACTCGGGGCTGGTGGAGTAGCAGGCGACGACGTTGTCTCTCTTGATCCTTCTCGACTGGAAGTTGAAGCAGCACTTGTCTGGCATGGCCAGGGCTCCTGGGGGGACAGGGAAAGCTCAGTTTAGCCTGGAGACTCCCACCTCCCATCTTAGCCCTCCTGCTGTGGGCATGGCATCCCTTTTGGGGGGAGCTCCCCTGCACTCCATGCATGAGGAAAACCCATCCCCAGGGGGGATGTCCCCCCCAGGGGATGTCCCTGACCCCCAGTCCGTGGGGACAGAGTGGGCAGCAGTGCTTACTCTGTGCCAGGCTCTGGCAGCACAGCACAGCGAGGAGAAGGAGGGCGCAGACCACCCCAGCTGCCTTTGCCATGCCGGACTGCGGGAGGGCTGCTCCGTGGTGTCAGGGCAGAGCTGCTGTCTGTCGGGGTCGGGGCTGCTGGGCTGCTTTTATGGGGGGAGCAGCGGGGCTGGCTTCCCCCAGGGCCAGTGATTACGTGGGCAGGGGGGTGGACCTGATCCCCTGCCATGTCCCAAAGCACAGAGGTTGAGCAATACTTATCCCCTTCCAGCACAGCCCCATGAAAAGAGAAGCCTGCTCCTGGGTCGTGCATTCAGCCCCCAATGGGCTTGGGAAATTTCCTGAGCTCCTGCCTCCTGCGTTAGGACTGGCGGCTGGGTTGCTTCCAAAGTTTGTCTCTGCATCTCTGTTCCCTGGGCAGACTGCATACCCTGTGGCAGGAGTCCCAGGGCAGGCAGGACCATCTGGGGATCTCCCTTGGATGGGAGTAGGACCAGGCTCAACACCCTGCAGGGTCCCCAGGAGCCACACAGACTCCCGACAGTCCATGTCATCCTCCTGCACTGCGAAGTTTTGCATCCTATTGCTTTACATTCCAGCCCCCACCAAGAAAACATAGAGAAACAGCTTCTGTTTTTTTGTACCAGGCACGTACAAGACTCTGTGTTGGTTTGGGGATGTTTGGGGCCCATTGGGGCTGGGAGAGGCTGGGCAGGTGGCTCCGCTTCCCTCCCCCGGAGCCAAAGCAGCAGCTCATGTTCTTGGCTGTGCTGAGCTGGGAAAAGGCTGAGGCCAGTCTGGGGCTTCCCGAGTGGATTTTGCCTGGCCACAGCTGTCCAAAGAGCCCCCTCTCCTCCCGGCTCCAGTGCATCCCAGCTGCTGGCAGCTGGCGGATGGTGGGAAGCAGCGGAGAGATGCAGTCACA